ATACGGGAATGGAAAACCGATTGGATTGTAAATCAAAACTTACAATATCTTGCTTTGAATACGAATTCATATGCATTCTATACAATGTACTCAATGTGTTTGTATATGTATATAACAAGACGTCAGTACAAGAGATCAGAGTTCACGACTTCTCGTTGTTATGTCGTTAACCAGAGAAAAGTTTATGTGATAATCATAGTCAAGAGAACAAAATCGACGGCGAAAGCTATTAACCAATGTATTAAAATTTATCTCATATGGAAAATAGATAAGGAAAGAGCATAATTAAAATTATCCGTACTAATATTATTAATGTGAAAGTGTGGCTGTCTGAATTTACTGCTACAATATAAAAGTACATAAATTAGAAACAAGGTGTCAGCTAGTTTTTATACACAAGATCCTTCAATTGTCTCAAGATTGCACTCATTTAGTTACAACGCAGTCGAAGCTACCTCGCTATCGCTTTGTTCTTCATAAAAGCCCGTACGATTTAATTACTGTCAGAAGTGACTTCGGTGTGCATTACACGTGATGTTCTTGCGCACTTTAACTTTGAAATGAAGTTAGTCGACTGAAAGCGTGGTTAACAAGCGACGAATCAAATCAAGAAGTAGTTGTAACTCTTCTTCAGGAGATTAATACAATTAATCTGGAAGTAATTTAAGTAAAATTACTAAAACTTAATTCATTCATGTACCTGTCAGATAGTAAGTATGAATAGGAGGGATGTTGCAATAAAATGAATAAAGTTCTAACTATTCAATTTGGAAACAATGCAATGTTGGAATTTTTTATATTTAAATATCAATATAAGAAATAAAATTGGTGAATGGAGACTTACTTGAAGGAATGTCAAGAAGTGAATTAAAAACAAAATTGTACAAGAATAGAACTCTAAATTTGAATACATTTGAAATACCTTACATATATGTACATGTTTTGTTTTTCATTTAAAACCTTTCTCTTGGATTACTCTATCTATTGTTAACACTGCATTAAAATCCGTTACGTAGTTTAAAAGATCTAAGTGAACAGACAGCGAAAGCGACTTCGTTTTATACTATATAAAGACTAACTTCGTTTTATACTAAAAATAGGTGTTGATGATAGAAGGGTGAAAATTTAGGGTTGTATGTATTTTTAATGACACATAATAAAAAAATATAAATAAAATATTTTGCTCAAAAAATAAATAAATAATGTTAGGGGTGGACAACCCTTATCACTTAGGGGTATAAAAAATAAATAGTCTCAGACCTACTGAATATGCATATTTTCATAAATAATAAAATTTCATAAAAATCGATCAAGCCGTTTGGGAGGGGTATGGTAACTTACATTGTGACACGAGAATTTTATATATAAGATAAATATTTCTGGCTATCTAGTTACAAAACTATATACTTATAAATCTCTTCGTATATATTGTAAATGTTCACGACTATGTAAGATTCCTAGTAAAAGAAAATATAATATAACGCAAACTTAGAGAAACTATTATATTATTTTATAATTAACTTGTTGTATCCTGAGACTTCGTCTACTTTTTCATATAATAGATAGCCTTCGTCCATCCTCGTGATACAATCTATCTTGATAGCCACTTTCATTAAGATCCGTTCATGCGTTTAGTCGTGAAAAGTAGCAAACTTGATATTTATTTTAAACTTACTTTCACATTCTCTGTATATTCTGAAATTAAAGTAAAATTATTGAATAGTCGCTGATATAACTGCAAATACACATTAGAGTATATAATTAATGAATAGGATTATATCCAATGAGATTTCATTAAAAATCATTATTGTCATATGTAAATGCATTAGGTAATCGGTTATTTATTATATTCGGTGCCAAATAATGGGTTAGGTAATAAAATGCAACATCAATCATGTTTATTATTTCACAGTAAATTAATTAAAAATATGTAAAAGTAAATAAATCTAGGAAGTAGTTGATATATAACTTTCTTAGTTATACATTTATTTTACTATGCCTATGATAATAGTTGAATTTAGAAAATATAATTATAATAATAATTTTTTTTAATATTGATAGCAATCTGCTTTATTTAGACGTAGACTTGTAATTAAGTAATATAAAGCGATCTTATTATATATAGCAATCATTTTGTCAAACAATAACGCCCGTGTTTCCATTTAGACGTAGTTATCAGACGTCAAAGGTGTCATGCCTCTGTAATATAAAAATTTAGCGGGATATCTCTCAACCTTCAAGTAAAATGTAACTGATAAATCAAGTTACGAATATTTGGTGGTTGAAAAATATATGGAGCAGACATACTCAAGTAGGTAAGTTTGACAAAAGTGTATCTCTAATTTTTGTACTAATGGGAAATATTGCTAATAAGGTCTATTAACAACAATCTGAAATTATAAAATTGATATTCATATGGTTTAAATAATATATTACCTCCCAGGAGGCGTGTAAAGTAGTTAATCTTCTTTAATCGATTCATCGTAACTTTGTAATTAGAACGATAATTACTATATAGAAAAGGGTTCAACTTTCAGTAGGGTTTAGAAATTTATAAAGTTTAAACTATTAATACTAATGGGATAGAGGAGACATAACTAGTTTGCGCATCAAAGTTTAACATTTGATTTTCAAAGTACGATCAAGGGCAGTTCGTTTACATTCAAAACGCTTATCAGGTCATTTATGTTTATGGAGAAGAATTTTCCATGAATGGCAAATTAACTATTACATATAATTAGCTGTACTTACGGTTCCGATCGTGTAGTTTATTGCCTATGTGTTAATCTGATGTAATAGTTATAATTGAAACTTTCATTAAAATCCATTGAGTAGTTTTTCGTGAAAGAGTAACAAACATCCATCAACACATACTCACATAAATTCACGTTTACAATAATAATAAAATTGGAATGGCAATCAATCTAATGGCTCACCTAATGCTAGACGTTAACCGTCGCCTATATACATGTAACATTACCTTGAGTGCATTCCGCAGTGGTACGATGTAATTTCACTGACTAAACCGTGTTATTTCACTGACTTATCTCACTATACAACCGAAATACACCTTACAAAGAATGTTGCTTGACTGAAATAGGTGATACAAGTGGTGACGACTTCAACTAAAATGTACCACATTAAATTTTATCTCTGTCTCACAGCTTACATGATAGAAACTAGTAACAGTATTCTAAATACATGATTAACAAGAACAGTACAAAATAAATTATTTTATTTGTATTTTGACAATATCTACTATACTCATGTTTCTAATCATAATACCAAATCGTTATATTTTCTGTCAATCGTAATTTCAGGTCATTAAGAATGATAGAAACATAAAAGATATTTTCATAATATTGTCTTTGATTGGCATAATATATTTCTGGAGTATTTTTTACAATATCTGTCTCAATGATATTAAATATATTTAAAGAACCTGTACTTTATAAACAACCATTACCAGATATTTTCCACGAAATTTACATTACATTCTGGATGTATTTATGATAGATAGCTGAAATATAAATGATATATTATTCGTATTTATATAATAAGTATGAAAGTGGTGTCTGTCTGTACCTGAACGGCTGAACATATCTTAATAAAATTTGATGCGAAGATAGATTTTAACACGAGGATCGACAATGGCTATTATCTCACAAAAACAAAGTTGCAGGTAACAACTAGACAGCAGTTACCGTTTTTATGATGATGTTGCTTACAACGTCATCATAAAATCGGACAACTTCTGGACAACTCATTCGGGAGTTGAGTAGAGCTGAGTTCGGGCCTCGAGCTTACGCTATTTGCCCGGGCATGAGAAACGGACATCAGAAGACGACTGGGGCGAGGTTAGATGCCATTGCGATGATGCATCGTACCCACTCTTCCGAATTAGTGAAACAATTGTAGCGAAATACGAATAGATATATTAAGTTCTATAACCTGTATTCATGTACAAAATCACGATCATAGAACGAACAATGTCATGCCTCTATGCCATGTAATTTCACTGTCAGATCTCATCCTCTTGTATGTTTAAATATATTTTCAGTGTTATGTAGAATACACAACTTAAGATTGCAATATATTATTATTATTATTATTATCGTTCCATGGAAATATACCTTAACGACAGCTGCTTGGCGTCAGAAATAAAAGAGATAGAGGTGCGCAGACCAATTTGTAGAAAGTCCACCTTGGTAAATCAAAATATTAGAGTTTTTTTTCCATACTACTCTAATGCTGTTGGCCGCAGCTGACCTTTATATCAGAGTAGGACAGCTATATACTTATATATAGTTATATACACTTTATTACTTCAATGTCACAGTTCGTTTTAGGTATAAGGTATATAATGCTATAATAAATAAGGGTCATAAGCTGTGGTACAAGATAAATTAGTTGTCATTATTAGCGCGTTGAGAAGTTTCGTTCAAAAGGTAGCTTGCCCACATTTTGCTAATGATGGCTGGGTATTACAAATACAACAATTTCAGATAATATGGTGCTCTGAAATAAAATGTTTCACTAAAACCAACTTCAATAACGGCTAAATTAGTATGGAGTTAAACATTATATACATAAAATTCAGTCAATTAGAGAGTCAAAACATTCAAATCAATTAAAATTTGTAATTAAACACCTAGATCGGAATCGGACACTTTTGTATAAATTACAAAATAAGACCTTTAAGATAACGACAACTGAAATCAATACAGATACAATATTTATAAATAATGAATAACAAAGTATGTTCCTAAATAAGTGAAAAACGTAATAAAATCTACATTCAGTATATGAAAAATATATACAAGAAAACAAAGGTATCAGATTTTATGACAGAATACATTGTTATCGCTATACAAGCCAAATGTAATTGAGTTTCGAGATAATTATTTTCAAGGGACATTTTACATTTAAAAAGAAATTAATGAAATTCAATTTATTTTCTTGTATATGCCTTGATTAGAAAGTATTTATGTTTCCATGAAATGGACAGTTTTTTAGGTTTGCTGATAGTTGGATTTTATAGTAAGTAACAATCTAATATGATTTTTTTATTTATTCATTTATTTCGAATATGTATCCATATTATGTTAGTAAACTACTTATTAAATATGTTAGTAAATTATAATTTTATTCATTCAATTCATATATTTATGCCTATTTCCATGTCCAGAAGCACTGGGTCCGCAGCAGTGCAGTGTCTCTGGAGTGGACAATCCGACATATTGGATATGGTGTGTAGGTGTTTAGGTGTGATTATACTCCTATCTAAATTTAAAAACAAAATAAGAGCGTATCAGCATCAACCTGTTTCTTGGAGTTTCCACCGCCGAAAACGGTCAGAAAGATTATCATAATCCTATTAAACGAATAATATTTATCGTGCATTTGAAGTTATCTAAGATTCAGTATATCTCATTATTGTCTGACTTTAGACCATGAATCTTTACCTAAAGCTTAGGCTACAACTATCATGCTGGCCAGACGTCTTAGCATAGTTTTTTTAAAGTTTCCTTTGTATTTTCACTATATGAACCTATCATCAAATAAAAAACGTCCCCAGGAACTCTTGAGCAAAGAGAGTTCATATCATAACAGTATTTTTTTTTTCTGATAATGCACTTAGTGATAAAAATCTGATTCATACGTCAACTCTACTTTCATAATTTCAGTAATATCAATAGCTACATGTAATAACTGCAAAGTAACCTGTCCATCAATAAAAGAAGATCTCAAATGTGGTTTTGATGTGAAGGCAAAAACATATACGATGTTTCCAAGCAAATGCGCTGTCAGAGCTTACGCCGAGTGTAACAAAATTGGTTATTATCTTTTACCTTTTATATCAAAATTATTCAAAGAAAAAAAGTGGTAAACGCACAAGAAACCTATCTTTATTTAATATTTTATATTTTCATATATAAAACAATGTAGGTAGGTATACGTTTCTTAAATTTGACGCAATTATTATTTACTTCCAATATTAAAGAAGTATCGGAATATTTCCACGTTTTATTATAATTAATTAATGTTGTTAATATTACGTATAAATTATTTAGTCCCTATTTTGTGTATCTATTCAGTGACATTATAGCCAAAAATATAACCCAGTAGGTCACGCCTGTGCGGTCTAAGACATATTAACATCTCGTATTTTGGAATGTAATGGTGTGTGTTTTGATGTTATCGTATGTGTTAATCCTCCTTGGACCCTGCTCGTTTTTGTGAGTAGCAGTAGAAGTTAGCATTGTTACAAAAACAAAGTACCTGACTGACAAGTTTCTACCCATTTGTATTTGCCCAAACAATAATATTACTATAAAATTTTCCCAATTCTGTTTAGAGTTCTAAAATAGTTCGTAACTTACATCAATGTGGTTTGGCACATTGTAGGTAATAGTTGAGGTAGGGCAGGCATGTTTCCAAAGTTTCGAAACGAATCACGAATTATTAGAATATTATTCTCGTAACTTTCTATAAAATATTTTAGTATCTGGTATGGTAAATAAGGTAATAACTCACCTGATGATAAGTGAAAATCATCACCTAGACGTGTACTATGTGTACTATATATGTATTATTCATATATAGTCATTAGTATACCTCGTGCATTGCTATCCCGAACTAAGGTCTTCGCCTCCGTATCTTGTAACGTTATTACACGTTTCGGTTTAAGAGCAATAGATAAGCTATTATACTTAATTTCTCAGTACTGCCAAAGCATGTATGTTGTAACAGTAACATAGGTAAATGAAATATTCAAAATAGATTGTATTTCTTGCCATATCCACTAAAATACAACAATAATCACAGGACGATACAGTACTAATGAATATATTCTATCTATCTCTATAAATGTTGGAATATTGTGCTATGATAATTTAATATCAAAATATGTTAATTTCAGACATAGTTGAAACACCATTATCTTACTGCATAAAGGCTCACTCGTTGCAGACTCGTAAGATATATGGAGAGTCATGCCCAGTGTTTTGTCCCAGCCATTACAGACCAGTATGTGGTGCGTCCAAGATTAGAGATTACATTTATAGGACATTCAACAATGGGTGCTATTTAGATATGGTTAATTGCCGAGGAGATGAGGACTATTCAGGTAAGTTCAATCAACGAATTCAGTCAATAAATTATTGAGAATACACATGAGTAACTCATGTGTAATTGTGCTGAACAAATCATATGAACGATCGTAGAATGAAATCATAAGAACGTAAAAGTCAAAAGAATTGTTCATGTAGTAAATTTTACACGTACCTGTTTTATCATGCTTTTTATCTCTAGCATCAGGTGATAGTTTTAGTAAAAAAGAATTGGCAAAATCACAACTGCTGATTTCAAAGTCAATGTGTATTTTTTTAGATTTTGTTATTTTCAATATTGTATTAAAAATACCGCACATGATTCATTATCGTCATACATTTAAATAATTAATTTAAATAACTTTTGTTAAGTGAGTTCTGTTTAAATTCATTAGAATGCATAAACAAGTATAGGGTTGAAATATCGAAACATTTATTAATATACTTCGATATTTTTTCATTATAAAATTTGATTTAGAACTATGAATTTAATTATACGCTTATTTTATTCCTCATAGCTATTCAGTACATTTTTTCTGTATAAGAAATTATTATTTTAATTGTAATGCTGGTTAAAAAATTTGCTAATACGTCTTTTGGAATGTGTCTATATTTAATTGAAAAAAATTGTGTTGAAATGTCAGAAATGATTATACAATTATAAAGATATCATTAAAATATAAGTTTTCATATAATATTCGCGTACTTATTCGTACTATAAGCTAATGGTGCTATACATTTAGGCAGACGCGAATAACATGATATTGCAGTACATATAAGATTGTTTCTGTTTATTTTAATATATACAATATAAATAACGTTAACATTAATTCTAAACATACCTTGGTAATTTTCTTGTAATATCATAAAAACTTCGTAATATAAATTATGTTAAATTCACATTATGGCAAATGTAAATCTGAAGATGAAAGTCCTAGGTAAGGTTTTTAGGCAAATTATTTGGAAACGACATCATAAAATATTTTATAGCCCTCTGTAACAGGCAAAATAGTATCTAATGGGTCGAATAATTCGTTTTACTTTACGTCCACATTGAATTCATTTGGAATACATAAGAACAATATGTCTTTAGGAATATATTTTCTATTTTATTTTGTAATCATTACTAAAAAAAAGGAATAATAAGATTTTACATACCTTAATGACTATTTTATCGTTTACCCGGGATTCGGATATAATAAAATACTATATTATTGCTACTATTAATATTCCGACTGCGCTCGGGTACTTATAACTGTGAGTTTTGTTTATATTAATACTAGCTATTCATCCCGGCTTCGCGCGGGTGTACATGTATTATAAACCTTCCTCTTGAATCACTCTATCTATTTAAAAAACTGCTTCACAATCCTTTACGTAGTTTTAAAGATATAAGCATACATGTATATGGACGGGCAGATAGTGACAGGGACTTTGTTTTATACTATGTAATGATAATATACTAATATTGGTCATGCCACTATAGAGTAATGTTTCATTCAAACAGTAAAATAATTTCTCAAAGCGATGCAGTGGTTTCAAACTACGTTGTTATCTCTTTATAATATTAGATTTTTTAATTTATTACCAATCTTTATCAGAATAGTTTTGAATAGATTAATTTGGAGTACTTCACTGTGACCTCATACAGCAGCTAAGTAGTTTACTTTGCAAACTGTCTACTGGTATGAAGAGCAAGATATGGTATAAAGTTATAGTCTGCGGCAGCTACCAACTTAGTCCTCAGGTATATCAGTGAAACTACGGCCGTCACTGTCCATTCTGTAATGCCTTTTGTTAATCATGTACATACTATATACGGCTGCGTTTCCATAATTTTATATTAGCTTATTTGCCATCTTATATTTATATATATAAATATTTATATAACGGCTAGTAAAACATTGATTACTTTAAATTAACTTAACCATATCTCGCTTTATTTTTAAGTCACTTTATTATTATACCTTTCAGGTTATGTCGAAGTGCCACTGGAATTTTGTCAGCGGCATCTAATGAAGAACATATTCAAAGAACAAGTTGTCGTATCTAACTTGCATGATTTTCGGAACTACGATTAATCAATATGATATTCAGAATAAAAATAATAGTAATACCACAGATAACATAATATTACATAGTAATACTAATAGTAATATATAATAATTAATATATCACTAAAAATAACAGTAGTTGGTACTCTAAAGTACAAGTATAAGTCCAAATTGGTACTAGTACCAATTTGGACTATACCTTATGCTTTTACAACGTGGTGGTCAATAATTCACTATCTGATCATTCAATTGTTTACAATATCTATCAGTATTCAAAACAGAGTTTATATTATTACAAATGTTCTCATTATTTCCAACAAGTCATTACCATATCACTACTGTGCATAATCTCTCCTTACAATAAGAAAATTCAACGTATTGTTATCATACCTACCAGGAGGCTTGAAACACGACTTTATTTAGTATTGTACTTGTCTTGTACTAGTCTCATCTCTACTCTCTTTGTAAGACATCCTGGGGGTGAAGAATATTTTGTTCTTTTTGCGTCATTACAAACCTGTTCCAGAGATAGATTTTGTAAAAATTCATCGACTTAGCTAAGTTTCACATAGTTCAGTCGCTAAGTAGTTTGCTTAGTTCAATTGAAGGTTAGGTAGGTAAGGAAGGTAAGGTAACCTTCCTAACCTTTAACAAATGTTAAAGTATAGGGCAGGGAAATTACTCCTGTAATTTACCTGTATTATGACTAGATAAGGCAGCGAAATTACATGGATAAAATTACAGTGCATGTGCATGTTAAACTTCCGGAGGGACAATCTATTGTATTATAGTAACGAAGGAGTATCACGGATGTCACCTAATGACGTTACGTCCATAGTTCTGTTAATGCATAAAGGCGATGGTTTCCTCTTACCATCGGAACTTGATGGTTTTTCTTAAAAATAATCATATTGTCTATATTGTGACAAGAAAAGTGAAAATATAACTAGTAACTGTATCCTAAAAATAACAATATAATAATAATAACTCAGGACAATTCTTATCGCGCTATCTTGTTAGAAGTTAAGCTAAGCAAACTGATATAAATACTTAGTTAGTTTTTAAATACATACATAAAAAACATCCTGACTTGAACAAACATTCATACCAATGAATCCAACATGTCTGCACTATGCGAGGAATCGAAATCGCGATCATTGTAATTAAGAAGATAAACTAAGCGGCTAGATCACCGATGCCGTTAAAATATAATTATGATTACTGATCCTCGAAAATATGGGTAACCTTATAGACATTATCCATCTTAAGAATAAACCAATATCTAGTGATTGATAAACTTCTACTGACGAGGGTAATCGAATGACGAATACTTACAGATACTTTGTTATTAACTACGTAAGTCTTACTAGACTTTGGCTAAATTTACGATAAAATACTGTAATCAAAAGCCTATTTATTAAAGACTAGTCCTCGGAATCTTTAATTATAATACCATATATTTTCATTACTCAGACTTGCTTCTCCGAAGCAAAAACTTTATAGCAAATATTATTAATTATACACAGAGATACTGAACAGAAAGTTCGTTTTTGAATTTGTTTTCTGAGCTTGTTGGTATATCTCTTTGCATGTTATAACTGTTATGTTGCTGGATTGATGTGAAAGAAAACTTTAACAGAATATTATAGTTAGTAATATAACATGTGGTAATGAACCAGCGTATAAGTTTTTTCTTCCCAATCAATTTAAATTCTTGATTTTCAAAACCATCTATAGTCATATCTTGAACTCTAGTCGCTGGGAAGAAATATAAGTCTGTTTTATTAAAAAAAAAAAATTCTTCCTAATGATATTAACTTATTTATTTACAAAACAACCTATCATAGCAATTAAATAGCTAATTAAAGATCTTCACTCTGTTCGGTGATACTATCGCCCGTTTCTAGGATTAATTTAAATCGTGGAATAAATATTTAATTTAAAATCAATTATTTTTGGGATTTGTAAGTTTGGGCTCTATTAGTACACAATTCTATCAATGAACGTCTTAATAAAAAATAAAACGTTTGTTGCCATTGTGTCATTACTCTTTGCTATTGTAATGCTTTTCATAGGTCGCGGTTCAAATCCGGCTCGAAAGACCACAAAGAAGAAGGATATCCACAGATTCCCAAGTGTGTACAAAGATTAAGGTAGTTAATAAATAAAATTACAGAAATCCTTCTACACAGATTGTTTTATATTTTCCTTATATTAAAAATTTAACAAAGGGCTTATAACAACTCTCACGAAATCTTAACATCGAGATGTAGAAAAAATCAAAAAGGCAACGTTGTATCGATATTAGAAGGAAACTTCGTTTTGAAAATATGTATTGAAAATTTACTTGGCGGATATTAGATATTCTGAAATGTACTCATATGATAACGTGGTTTGCATACGTCTGCAAACGTTTTACATATTTAGTTTAAATATATTCATATAATAATATTAATTCACTTACAATAGATAATAAAAAAATATAATCTATTCCGTATCCATATCTTATTCTAAAATGTGGATAAACAAAGCTGTTAAATTCAATATCAATTGATTTATATAATCCAATAATGTCAAATAATTAAATTTTGCTCACATTGTTGGAGCTGATCCAAGCAATATCTTTTGTTTGTTCCTCGCGAACGGGACAAGAGAGATATGTGGTAAGTGGTTCATATTGGATGAATTACTTACTCGCTACTTGAGAGCTCGCTTGTTGTTTTATAAAATTTCGGAAATTTCAACCATACAGTATCTTTTTTCCACACATCATTATTATTATTAAGAAGTATTAAACGACTGAATGGATCTTAATGTAAAATACAGACATTGTTTAATACTTAAAATACCATTATGATTTTTTTTAATTTAACAGATTATAAATATTACATAATTTGATTTTATTATCAAGAGATTACACGTTGTTTGTATACCAATTAATAAAACATTTTAACGTCGTAACTCATAAATATCTTAAATATTTATTATAGACTACCTGTTCCCGCGACTTCGTCCGCGGGGAATTTAACTTTATTTTTCTAAAATAAAAGTAACCGAAGTTACTCCTTATTACATCAGCTACCTGCCAAAAAAAGTCCCGTCAAAATAGGTCCAATCATTTCAGAATTAGGCCGGAACAAATTGACAGACAGACAGACAAACAAAAATTGTAAAAAATATTATTTTGGTATATGTACCGTAATTATATTCTTATGCATGTAGTAAAACTGTTATTTCAATTACAAACAGACACTCCAATTTTATTTACATGTAGATATAGATAAAAAATTTAAGTTAACTGGTATGCATATCATGTGATTATCTTTTAACATCAATCTGAAGTCCTATGTATCTATATATGTAATGAATTATATATTGAAGCGTCAAAAATGTTAATACTTATTCAAAATTATAAATCATTTGTTCATATTGGACATTTTCAGCCACTTATGTAAATCATAATTTCTTGTCAAACACACTACCCTATTCTTTCTATACATCTAAAGAAAAATTGTAACAAAACAAGTTGAACAAGTTCGTAACTTTTGATCGTTTGTAATATTTGAATAACAATCTAAAGACAAACTGAGCAGAAATAAACTTTACAAATACTTACAGTCTTAGTTCTACGATATTTTCGAATTGAATGTACGAAATATCATATAATATATTTTGTCAAACTTTTGCGATCAACACGCTTGAATGAATATTGAATACTGCAACTACGACATCAGATATGGGTATCAGAAATCAACACTCGCTGCGATTTGCTATTATTCAGTAGGAAATATAGTAACTCATTTATAGCTGTTCATAAAAAAAACATCACACAAGTCATCCCAGGCGGTGCGGCTAAGGCAATTTGTTCACTGGTAAGGTAATGGGGTGATTGGTTTTAGGACATAATGGGACTGACATGTACTTAGATAGTACAAAAGTCCCTAAATTTAAAAATAAATAAAAGAAAAGTCATCTCTGAGAGAGTGGTAAAGATCGGAAGCTGTTAATTTAAAGAGTCGTCGGTTTGTATTCTTCAGCCTCATCTTTTTCAGCCACCGTACTTTTTTTTCGTTGAAGACAATGATACCCTATTCCTCCAGAATTGTTTCTGTCTGAAATAAGAACCACGAAGGTGAAACTTATCTAAAAAAATAAATATCCAAATTCAAATTCTCTCTTTATTTTAATATCGGTTGATAATAATTTCGTTCTATGTATATCTCTATTTATTACATTATACGGGACATAACAAAGATTTATTGACCTAGAATATATCATTAAAATATCCTTTGTATAAACAAATCGCCTATATTTTGTGGTTTAGCCTTCTCCGAGATATAGTGTCGGGTGTTATACTTCAAGATTATCTTTAATTAGGGTGTATCCTTGTAAAAACATAAAATAGCAGGAAAAACGTAACAAACAGGATAGTAATAAAATTTACTGATCACTGAAAATGTGAAATGAGTATAATCTCTTCGGTCTGACAACTTCACATTATGGTTGCAGGTTTAAAAGCAGCACAAAAAATATATATTAATCTTATATGTATATAATAATTTAAATATTAATATAATTAAATATTTCTGTTAGTTGTTTAGTATCATCTCTGCCTAATTTGGTACTAGAACAGTAGCACATTTAGCAATAGATTTTTAACCTTGCATTATTTCTAAAATCGTAGTAAGGTATTTTGAGTATATAAAAAAAAATTTGAATGTCATATTTTGTATTACTATTATAGAAAGTTTAAATATTTAGTTAAATCTCCACGCCATAAGCCCGGAGGCATACTCTGATTAGGTACTATAAGAAAATATGCAATAAGGTATAATGTACAAAAATCTCATTCTATGAAAACAGGAAATGGGTATAGTTTTCGTGAACTCAAATTTTCTCATATCGCATGTATTCATATACGAAAATAATAAAATTTTGCAGAATTCACATTGTTTCCTCAATTGTTTTGTGCAACCATGCATTGTTTCATTTATTTTTACAATAGAGAATATCGCAAGCAATAAACC